TTGAACCTCGTCAGGTGGTCGCTGCAGTTGTCATTACCACATAATGGGGATGAAAATCAAGTATTTCTAGTCCTCTTGAGCCTACCTTGAACTACACAGCAAAGAATCGCCAAGGTCCAGTTGCAAAGAAATGCTAAAAAGAACAAGGGTGGACTTCAATCTTCTTACCTTCAATATGGGTTTGGTAGAGTGATAAAAGCAGAACAGCCTCAAATGTGGGGTGACTGAGCCTTAAATGATGTGTTCTTTTGGGCACTGGGCAAGAACACTTGGGATTTGCTTCATAAAATGCCTGTATGAATTGCAACCCTGCTGGTTTGTATCTGATGGAAAAGCTGGAAAATGCCCAACACAGAAAAATAACCCTGTGGTGCTTGACCTCAACCGTGCTTTCGAATCAGTAGAACCTCAAAGTTTCTTTGGTTCAGCTTCCCATCTGTAAGATGGAGACACTATTGAAACACCCTGTGACAAGTTAGGATGGGAACTGACTGTTCATATCGGCAGGGTGATGAGAAGCAGCAGSATGAGCTGTAGAAAAACCTAAAAAATAATAATAAAAAATCATCAGAACCTGAATAACTGTGCAGCAAGAAGCCAGCAGCTGCTCACTTACTGAACAGCATCCATCGCCTCATCTTAAGAACAAGGCAGGAAAAGATATGGTGTATATACTGTATATACACTGTATATAGTGAAAACCATCCTCTTGTCAGGACACAAGTGGAGCAAATGAAGCAGGAAGAGGCCACTGGATTTGAGCAGTTCTTGGCTTCCAAGAGGTGGACTTTTCTAAAGACTGTAAAGGCGATGCACACCTTTTGTGCAAAAATGCAAAACTTATTTTTGTTTTTTACATATGCATTAACTACATTTATTCTGATTAAATAAATTTGAGGGACTAGTTAAGCTAAAAGCATCGTGAAAGACAGCCATCAAAACCCGAGCATCGGTAAACGCTGCTCCTAAAAYGGAGCGTGGGGTGTGAGTTAATCTGGGGAGCTGCTGAGCGTGCCACCAAGGAAGGAGATCTCCAGTGAGCTCCTCATTTCTGGGGCTTGGCTGGCAGGAGGACACTGTGCTCAAAAATAAAGAGTGGAGAACATGCCTGGGGCTGGCCCTGGATGAGACAAACTCATGGATGACAAAAAAACACTTTTCAGCAGGAGGCAATGTAACCTCAGCTCCAAATAGCTCCCTAATCACAGCTGAGTACAGGCACTGTTGTGATTGTGCTTCCCTCACAGCTTTTACAGTAGGTGCTGGCAAAGCCCGGGTCATTCTTTTGCAAACAAGTTTCTTCAGGGGACAGATTCAACATTATTTTCTATGCAATAACAACCTCTGGGGCTACTGCTGTTTCACTTGTACTGCAGCAAACCAGAAGAGTCCCAGCCATAATCCCACTGTGTGTGGTGTGGTATAAGCACAGAAAACCCAGGTGCGTCTTGTTCTTCTGAAAATTTCCACCGGGATCCCCCGGAAAGCTGCTAGTCAAGCAAAGTAGGTCAGCGCTCCAGACGTGCATACATACGCGCACACGGAACAAGACGAGCTGCAAACGGGAATATTAAGCTGCCAAGCACTTGTTAAAAACTGTGCATGAGGGCAATTAAACGATTATCATCTTTTCATGTTTGCAAGGCAGGCAGAAGCGCCAATTAGTCCCCGTTACAACCCTCCAGGCCTGGAGATGCCATCAGAGCCTTTTTCTTTGTGCCACGTGGTTCTTTCACCTACTGATGTGACAAACTGCATGGGGACGTGAGCGCAGAGCAGCTCCTTGTATGGAGGATGAGGTTGAATGAGGTGCCTGGAAGCACCGAACACGACCCTCTCGCCCTGCTGGTCCTGCRGGAGCGGAGATCTTGTGGAGAGCCCATGGATGTGCGGGAAGAGGGTCTCCCATTCTCAGCCACTGTCTAACCGGTAGGATGGGAGCCACCTGCTAACCTGAGGGGGGAAAAAACTCAATAGTTCACCAAGTTCATTTTAATCCTGGTAGTGTTTGCCAAGCTGATTACTGCAAAAACAGCTGAAGCCCTAAGAGCAGCCAGAAAGACCCTGAGTTCCTGTACACAATGCACAACTGGTGGGGGCTCTCTGYTATGAATTAAAACCAAAGCAAAAACAAACACAAGACGAGAAAAAAGGTTACCAAAACGTTTAGCCTTTGTTTTATTGAGTTACAACAAATGAGCAACAAGTTAGAAAAGTTGGATTTATTCAAACTCCCTAGCATTATATTTGTGCAGTGTACTGAAAGATGGGTCAGTTTTCCAAACACGGCTACTYGGCGCAGCGCGTCCCGCAGCTCTCGCATGCGCTCCGCAGACACAAACTCCTCTCTTCTTCCTCACACACGCACACACAGACACCCCCACACAGAAAATCAGCATTATCTGAAAAAAAAAGTGCACTCAGGAATCTAGAATCGATTTAAAAATTTAGTGGTGAGGGTTAATCAGGAATTTCTGTTGTGCGCTACCTAAAGCTGGAGGGCAGCCCTCGGGTTGTATTGTCCGTCTTTGTACCCACCAAAGAAACACCAAGTWTGGATATGAAGCATCTTAATTTCCTCACTGCAGCCCCTCTGGAGGTCGTACTGCATGTTTATACAAAAAGTGCTAAAAAAAAAAAGGCATTTTAGCAAGACCTTCAGAGAACCATGGCCTGTGCTGGTTTGTGAAAAGTGAAGTACAGGAGCTGGAAAAGCCTTGCTTCATAGGAGCACAGAAAAGCAGAGATTTAAATACTGCAACCAGTAGCAGATGGCCATAAAACAAAACAAAACAAAAGCCTTGAAACATCCCTTACCCCCAGCTAAGCCAAAGGAGCCCCTTGGCTGGGGTGGGAACCTGGGACCAGGCGCTGAGCTGCACCCAAGGGATTCCAAGTGGTTCCTGAAAGCACTTCCAAAAAAAGCCTTCTCTCCCCTGCCCTCCCCACAAAAGACACCTCCCTCCCCGCCCCCCAGACCAACCCCACATTTCTGCAATGGCAGGATAGGCAAGAATAACTTGCACCGATTAAAAAGTTAACAGAATTTCCATGTTATACAAATCTGTTCCAGTATCGGAAGAGGCTGGGCAGGAAAGTGGGTGGGAGAGGAGGCAAAGGAGAGATCTATATACAGGGATCCTTTCTTTTTCTCTCTCTCTCTCTCTCTCTCTCTCTGTTTTGATGCAGTAGTAGGACTTTGGCACTAGGCACTCTCCTGTGATGATGCTCCACCAGTGGATCTCTCGCCGTGCCTCTGCAAGCGCACCCGGACACTTGGACTTGCAACACACTCACTCAGCCCAGGCAGGAAAAGAGACTTTTTCCTTTTATTTCCAAACGGCGTTGAAAACCCCTTCGTTGTCAGGACAGCGCAGCTGAGCAGAACCCCTGCAAACATCAAAAACAGAAACACTGGCTTTAAAGGAACAACATGGAACAACTATTCGAGCTGCTCACTGACAGGGCTTCTCTGCACATGTGGTAGCCCTTAGTTTCTATTAACCATAGTCTCTGCTGGTTCGTTGTTACCCTATAAATTGCACAGAGCTGCATGGTTGTTCAAAGACAGGTTTGTGCACAAGGMAACAGCTAGAAACTGTTACTTTAGAAAAGGAATGGATAGTGCTAAAGGTGGGAAAACTGGAAGACTATAGTCTTTTTTTTTTCTCCCCATAAATCCTCTATATAATTTTTTATCTGGTTTTAAAATGTAATTACACAAGGCTCAAGAAAATGGAAAGAAGTCACCMGCTGGCATCTGCACAGGGCAGCTCAGGGGCTCTCCAGCGATTCCTGCACCCAAGCAAAGGCTACACAGGGAACCAGTGACTTAAAAAATGACTTTCACGTCACTCTCCTGCCTACACGTGCCCCTGGTTCTCCCAAGGCTGATGGAAACCTGGGATAACTGGGCTCTAGGGATGAAACCCCGAACCACGAGAGGAAAAAGGGCTGGGGCAGCGAGGGAGGGAAAGCCCAGGGTTGKTATAGCCTGCATCAACTTTGGACGCTGAGGAAGGTGCAAGGTCCCACGAGAAGCTGAGCGATCTCTGTCCGGAAACAATGTGGTGGGAGCAGGAGGCACCAGGAGGGCCCAGACAACCCCCAATGCCCGGTACGACACTTACATAAGCAGCAAGGAGTCACTTGGGGGGAACTTTAACACAGCTCCCAGATCTGTTTTTGTTTTTCCTTTATTGCTATTTTACTGTTATTTTTCCYTATGGCAGCCCTCGGAGCAGCGAGCCGGGCTGTGCGCGGCTTCGGAGGCACCAGGGCCCCGGCCCTCACCGCGAGCTGGGCCCAAGAGGGAAGGTCAGGGAGCMGGCCCTAAAACCGACAGCTTCTGTGGACTGGGAGGAACATTCCTGAGAAAAAGAAAGTGCTCTGCTCTGGAGAAAGCCCTGGGGGAGGCAGGGCTATGAAGAAAGGCAGCAGGAGGTGCCATACCCTGCGGCCTGCSCCGGCCTCCCTGCTCCCCTGCCGAGCTGCAGTTGCTGATCTTGGGTTTTTTGACCATTTTTTTTTGCCTGTGACGCTTGTACAAACRGTGACAACAGGCCTGATTCTGGCCTGGGCTGGGGAAGGCAGGACTGTCACTGTGCTGGCAAYGGATCTACCTCTGGTGTGAGTGCACAGAGCCTTTTAAGCAGTAACTTCAAGGCAGCTGAAGGGAGTCAGCCCCAGGTTGAAGAGCCTGGTACCTTAGGGAAGAAGATCCTGCAGCCTCCCTCTTTAAGGAACACCATCCTATTCTGAGCAAGTAATCTGAGTTTGCCAATAACTTCAAACAGGTAGAAGCAGATTTTAACAGTTGCTTTTATTAACCTGTGGATGATATTTAATAGYGTTGAGTAAATCCTGCTCTTGCGGAGGTTGGGCAGCAGTAAAGGTCCCCTGGCCTCAGAAGTGGCAGAATCTGGTGAATACACCTCAGTTCTGAAACATCTCCCTTCCTAAGGCATCGTGTCCATCAAGGCCTTAACAAACTATTACCCAGGAAGTTCAGAAACTTCTAGAGCTACATGCCTGGGTTCCGAGTACTTCTGGAGCACTCCAGGTTTCCCAGAAGTTGCACGTGAACYCAGCCCATAACAGACCAAGGTTGGAAAGAGAACAACATTCACGGTAAAGCCCATATATCACACTAAAAAGTGTAACATGASTATCAAAGGGCTACGTTTGATGCCTGTTTGACATCAAGTAGAGCAAGGAAAGCCTCACATAATGACTAGAGCTGAGCGGAAGGGGAGATGAGGAAGACTCCCCTTAGCTCTTCAGCACTGGGCAGTCATAGTTGAARTCAGGACAGCAATGTGGACCCTCCAAGGTACAGAGAGGTCCAGTATTAGAAAAATCACTTTTATATGAGAATATATTAAGTGTCAAGTCAGCACAGACAAGCTATCTTTCAAGTGCCTGTGTTCTTGAGGCCTAGCGGAGGGCAGAGTGACACCCAGCCTCAAGCCAGTCACCTGTGTCAGGCAAGTCTTGCTCCAGTGTGTCTCTCTCAGGAGGTGTATTTTATTATCAACCACTTGAAAGCTCCCTAGCAAAAAGATCAAGTGGTGAAAGTTTAACTGAGATCAAAGCTTTCATTGGAATTCCCCTCTGATGGTGCTCAACCCCCTGCACAGCAGTGGAGCTTTATGGATGGTTCCTGTGTCTGGGAGGGCTCAAGTCAGAGGTTTCTGACCACASTGCGTCCCACACTGCTCACAGACACTAAAGATGCAGCCACTGAAGCCATGCTGCTGGAAGAGGGCTGCAGCAGAGCTTAGTTTCATGACACAAAGTGTTTGCCAAAACATAACGCTTTACTAAAGTAATCCCATGCTCTCCTAGCCTCCTACCCTCACTCTCAMTCCTACCCCTGGCATGCTGCCTTTCCTCCATTACAGTGGCACAAAAATTCATACCTGGAACAAGGAACCGATCTGGCATAACACACTGAGGGGAAAAGATTCCTATTCTACACTCATTATATATGAGTGTATATATGAGTATATTTTTATATATGTATATTTGTATATTTTCTCATTTGTCTTTAAATGACAGACCCATTCCCAGCTCTGATTTTATACCTACCTTCAGAAACTACAGAAACTGTAGTGGCACCCAAAGAGAACCATGTGCTGCAGAGGCCAGAAGCAGCTAGTCCTCACTGCCCTTCCCAAGCYCTCCTCTCCTTCCTTCAACATCAGTGCAGGCCCCTCAGCTAACACACCTGCTCCTTGCAGCCTTGCTCCTTTGCAAGCAGGATGCAGAATGATGTGTTGTAATGCAGCTTTAAAACATTCTGCAGTACAGACGTTGTGATACAGACGTTGTGACATTCCTCAAAATTAAAGTCTATACAAGTTGTAGCTCAAAAATAAAATCACTCGAGTGCTTCTCTTTCAAACTTGGAGCAAATGTTCAGGAGGCTTTTGGATAAGTGGTTCACAAGGAGAAAGTGGAGAGCTCTGAACTAGCCTGTGTGGCTTGCAAGGAAAAGCTGCTCGGGCACATTTAACAGTTCAACTCAAGCATTGCAAAGCTGCAATAACAAAAGCCTTTAGGGGCAAAAACTTTTGTCAGCCCTAGCTTTATTTTTTTGTGTGAAAAAATATCAGAGAACTGAGATTTGTATCAGAGATATTTGTATCAGAAAATCAGTTTGTATCAGACAACTATTAGTTATTTCTAAAATAAATGTTCTGTGTGCTTGTTAATGCATTGTGGGGCATTTGCTGTTGGATAGTTTCTAGCTTGAGCAGACTCCAGTCAGGGAGAGAATCAGATCTCGACTACATTAAACATAAAATATTGAAGGCTCCAAGTGGAGGAAAAAAAAAAAAAACCCCACAAACAAAAAACTGATGGTGCTTGCTCTGAATTTATACCTGCCTAATTACAAACAGGCTTCAGGTCTCCAAATTAACCCCCTTCAGAAAAGCTCTGGAGTCTGTTTTTAAATTCAGGCTCAAGTGAAGAGCTGCTAAAACACCGCAGGGCTTCGTCTGGGGCATTTCCTAAACCTCCATCATGAGCAAGCAGAACAAAGCAAGGCTGGAGAGCTTCTCACCTGCAGGAAGAAGAGAGCACATTTGCATGAGCCCCTGCAGTTCCCCACAACGTTTTTGTTTTGCCTTGCAACAGCATCCAGGAACATCTTTGCCCTGGGCCCTTTCCCCAGCAACCTTTTTATCTGAGAACTCAGGATGCTGCAAAGGCTCAACCTAGGGTGCAAAAGTAGCTAGAGCTCTTCACGGGAGATCAATGATCTGCTATCAAGATGGACATTAGTAACTAGGGTTACCTACTATTTCTTTGCATAGCTCTACTGGTATATTTTGCATCAAGCCCTGCAGAGGTTGCACAGGTCATTTAAAGGCAGAAACCTCAGAATTAACTGAGGTTCTGCCCTACTGAGAGCTCAGCTCAGGAGGAGATGAGAATCAAACCAAACACTGCTAACTGCTCCCTGCTGAGTGGCTACTGAAATGTGCAGCCGGGATGGGTGTCCCCTGGGTTCAAGCACCCGGCAGGCCCGTGCTCGGGGCAGGGATGCACTCTGCGACTGACCCCGCAAAGGGGCTGCTGGGCCCTGCAAGCACAAGGAGACTGAGGCTGCCTCGGAGCAGCAGGGCAGCGTTACCTGTCTACACGTGGGAATTGTCTCCAGACACACTTTCAGAATCACAGTCTGCCAGCTCCGCCTGGCCCGCGGGCGCAGCTTGGCTCCAGCTGTTGGCACAGTCCGATGCAGCCTCATCCTCGCCCACCGTCACCTCCACCCAGCTGGCACCCGCCGCCTCCTCGTTCTCCTCGCTGCCGGGGCCCTCGTGGCTGTTGCACTCCAGCCTCTCCGTCCCCTCCGCTTGGTTRCCCAGCAAAGAGTCTTTCAGTGGTTCACAGTCTCTTTTTGACCTCACAACTACTTTTCCCCCATTCTCCTCGTTCAGTTTTTTATGCTCCTGGTAAGGCTGCCGCGGCACCTCGCTGCCATTCTTTGGGCTCTCCGTGCGTTTTGGTCCCTTTTTCTGGTTTTGCTCGTTGTGCCCCTCAGCCACGTGCTGCTGTTGATACTGATCAATCCATTTCAGTGACCCCGTTCTTAGCGACGACCGGTTCTCCTTGAACCAGCGAACAATTTCAGTTCTCGTGAGCCCTGTCTGAGCTGCTAACTGGTCATACTCCTGCGGGGACGGCCACTGGGTTCTTGCAAACGTGCTTTTCAGTAAATGAACCTGCTCTTGGGTTTTCTTATTCAACACTGCAGAGGACCCGGATAAAGAGCCAGGTAGCTGGGAGCTGGTCAGCAGTTCTGTCTGGCTTATTGCACCATTGTGGGTTCCTTGATCTTTTGTTTTTCTGTATGATCCCATCGARTCCAAGACTGCTTGCTCCATGCTGTCCCTTATCTTCCTCCGCTCCGAGAACCATGAATCAATCTCCCTCCTACTCAGTTTAGTCTCCACTCGAAGCCTGTCCAATTCTCCTTGGGTTGGAAAAGAACATCTTAGGAAACTCTCTTCAAGGGCTCTAAGCTGCTCTTGGGTTTTCTCTTTGAATCTCTGAGGTGTAAACTCTGCATAAGGGTGGAATGAACGGCCATACCGCCCCGTTGCGGTTATTAATTGATCTTTTGCTAACGAGTCACTCACTTGCACAATGCCCCGCTGACTCCTGTACCGGTGGTCACTGAACCACTTCTTGATCTCACTCCTGGACAGACCCGTCATCTCTATCAGCCGGTAGATTTCGGCATCGTCGGGGAACTGGCTTGCYGTGAAACTGGCCTTCAGTTCCGCTATCTGCTCCTTGGTCTTCTTCCGCTCGCTTGCCGGAGGCAGCGGCGCGGYGCTCAGCTTGGCGGGAAGCTCCGGCACCGGAACAATGTGGGGACGCTTGGCCTCCGGGAGATTTGATAGGGTCTGTATCGTTCTCTTCTGCCCCTGGTTAGGGGCAACAGCGAGAGTTATTGGCGAACAGGAAACCGCTGAGCCATTTGACACGGGAGTCAAGACCAGACCAGTTTGGCCCAGTATCTGACATGGCAGAGCCGTCTGGATGATGGGCTGGGGAATTTTTGCAGTTGTCAAAGGAGCTGGTAGGACAGTGATGGTTTGGGGGACTGCCTGGATGGTACCATTAAACATCTTCTTTCTCGCCTCCTCCACTTCCTCTGGAGACCAACTTATACCGTGTTTCAAGCGCTGAGTAGCGAACCAGATTCGGATTTGCTCCTCGGGGTGCTTTGAGGCCGCTGTCAACCACGACAACTCTGCTTGTGTTGGGTAAGGGAATTTGTTAAAGGAGTTGATCATGGTTGCATTAGTGTCCAGTGCAGAGTTATATTTGGTACTGTTCAGAGGTACTGGCACCTTGGGGAGAAGGTTAATATTTGGTGGCAGCTGTACAGAGGGCATAACATGAGCTAASACATCGTGGAGAAGGTCCCCATTTATGCAAGCGATAGCTTCAGTGGCTTCAGTTATGATGCGGGGCAGAGTCCCATCCACGTGATTGTCCRCAAGTCCCTCTTCTGGCTTCTTGGGGCCTTTCTTGGTTTCCACTTTAGGCTTTCCCAGTTTCATCAGTGGGGTTTTGCCTGCACTAAGCCCCCCGCGAAGCGGGTCGTCGCACTCTGCACCCTCCAGCCCACCGCTAGCGACAGTGACGCTGTTCGTGGTGGTCTCAATGGACTGCTCTAACACAGTCTGATTATTGCGTTTGATTAATTTCAACTTAAAATTATTCTCTCCTGGGTGGTGTTTTGCGTTGTGATCAGATAGGGAATCGTATTTTTTGGTTGTAAAGTTACATTCAGCACAAACATACAGAGGGTTGAGAATGACGTTGGGATGCTGAGTGTCAACGTGCTCTGTAAATTCGTTTAAGTTCTGTGTAGAGTAGGGGCAGTATTTGCATTCATAGCCACCCTGGGGTTTCTTGGATTGGTTCTCGGGTGGGGGCTTGGCCTCAACCACTTCACAGTCTTTCACGGAGCCTTCTGCAGCCCAGCTTTTCTTAGTGTCCTGCTGCTGTGGGGCGACAGCCCCCTTTTCCTTAGGGGTTTCTGCACCCTCAGCTGCATCCTGCTCCACCACTTCCGAAGTCCGCACCATACACGGAGTTGTCGACTTTCTTTTGCTCGCCATGGCAGCCTTTGCAGGGAGCTACTGTCCCAAAAGGGGCCCTTCTGCCAAGGACAGCAGGAAAGCTGGAAGTTCTCACCAACAACTCCAACCTCCTGGGATTATCTTAGTGTACTTTGTTTAACAGAGCATTTCTGTGCCCGCMGTGGCCATCAGCTTCAACAGCAAACCCAGCGGCTGCATGACACCTGCAAAACAAAGCACAGGGCGTTAGGCTCTCCTCTGTAAAGCACATTTCTTGAGCTGTGGCTCTGCTCAACAGGTGCTTTTGCAGCACCACTCTGTATGCTCAACTTCCCCCCACCCATAATCACAGAATCCCAGAATCCTGGAGGTTGGAAGGGATTAATGAGCTTAAGAAGGAAAATTCTGCCCACAAAGGATAAAAACAGTGGACAACTTGCTGTTTCCTAAAAGCACCACTTTTCACTGAATACTGGTGAAAATAGCTGGCAGTAGCCTCCAGGCCCCTTTTAAATGGGTCCCCTTTCTGTGTCCTGCCGAAACTCTCATCAAGTCCTGTCCTGTGCACTTGACTTCCTACAGAATTTGAACAAACAAAAGCTATAACACCACCACACAATCAATTTTAAAGTGTGATTCACATGTTGAAGCAGCATTGGAGGCTCCCAAATCTAAGCATTTGCTTTGGAGAGAGAAAGATAGCATGTTTTAAAGACCACTTCAAATGCCAGTCAGCACAAACCCAGAAACTACATAARTTATGATTCAGTCGTGCTCACTGGACATTTCAGATCATTTCACTCATTTCCCCATCAAAATTGTCTGCTAGGTGCTSGGGTCATGTAGGAGCTTCAACCAGTGCAGAACGAAGCTACCCAGCTGGGGGAGCGAGACATCCTGCAGAGCGCCCAGCACAGCTGCCTTTAGCAAGCTACTTTCCCCAGAAGTGCTGATTTTAACCCATAAATCAAGCTCTCAGCACCACAGCAGCAGGGAGGACTTGGCTCCCTATGAAAGCAGCTGTCCGAAGCCAGTTGATCCGATGCATTCCCTGCAGTAGAGATGCTCACTGAAGGGCTCAGGACACACCAGCTGCCGGGAGGTCAGTCCCTCCAGCCTGGGTTCATGGCACAGCTACTGCAGCACCGACCCGAGCGGGCACCAGCTGCTTCCCAACGTTGGCCGGAACCTGGAGTCTCCCAAGGCTGCAGCCCAAAAGTGCCAAGTGCTGCAAAACCAGTAAGTGCTGCAGCTCTGGAAATGCAGCTCCCCTCAGCTGGGGAGCATGGAGCCTGGCAGGGCGCCGAGGGGAGGAAGGGGGCAGGCCCCGGGCTTCAACTGCAGGAGGATGGAAAGGGGAAGTGGGTGCAGGAAGGGCAAGGCCTCGTTCCTGAAGGCCCTTCAGTTGTCTATCTGAATTAGAGATCCTGCAGCTGACTGAACACAGATTTCCTCACTGCCGAGTCTGGAAGTGAGGAGCTGCATCCAGCTAGAACACATTTCTGCTGCTCTGCCTGTCATGGGTGAGCCCATCCCTGTATATCCCAAAAAACAGACCAATGCACTCRCAGGACAACCAGCTTCAGCTGGGAATTAGAGCCGGGATGCCAGCTTCCAGCTCCAAACACACACCCTAACACAGCCTGTTGTGGGACGATCACATCCCTGCCAGCACAGGTCACCTCCACGAGCTCTGGGCATCCCTGGGGGCGAGTTGGAGCTGCAGCTCCTGGGAAGCTGGAGGAAAGGAGCTGGGGGAGTGCAGGCAGCTCCTGCCTGTCCTCCCGAGCGAGGGGCACGCTTGGGTCCACGCTGGCTTGGAATTGGAATTTTCTACTGTAATAAGCAAGGGGAAGAAACTGAGCCTGCTTTTCTATGGATTTGTGCTACTTGACCTTTAAACTGGATTACACKGAATATTCTCTGTTATTTCCACATAAATTCCCCTCTATCCCCCTGGTCAAACCTGCTCAAGAGGTGGCAGAAGGGAACAGCAGTAGACGCACCACCCTTGCTGAGGTGAGGATGGGTGGTAAATGCGACCAGGTTGCCCCAACCCACCCTGCAGGTCGCTAAGTGCCTGTGATTTCTGAGAGGAGGGAAGGGAGGCGYGAGGCAGGGCGCAGGGAAGGGCTGCGGGAGCCCACGCAGCCCCACCAGGCCGCGCGGCGCCGCGCGGGAGGGTCTCTCCTCCCCGGGCCCTCCTCGACTCCGGGCACTTCAGCAAAGGGAAGGGAACCAAAGGACATCAGAGTGGGAGCAAAACTCATTTATATCTCACTGGATAAAAAAAAAGAGACCTAAGAACTAAAAGATAAAGAAAGGGCCTGAAAGAGAAGTAGAAAGAAACCTGCTTCAGATCAAAGGTTTCTTAGAAGTCAAACCAAGCTTTTCAGGTCCATCCGATTTCCTTGTTTTCTGGGACCTCGCTGTGTTGCCGGCCAGGCCGAGCTCTGCTGAACTCGTGCCCGTCGTGYGGAGGGGCTGCCCCACGCGAGACCGGGGGTCCCCACACGGCCGCAAGGTAACACGGCGCACGGAGGTGAGACGAGCTCTGCCTGTTAAGTTCTCTAGCAGGGAACGGCACCAGTTACCACTCGTGCCGGTTCTGTTTCACACAGAGAACATCCTATTTTCATAACCATYGTTTTGCTACCTCACCGTTTGTGAGGGTCTTTCTGCTATACAAAAATTGTCACCCATCACACAAATGAAACTTGACAGTCAAAACGCTTCTTTCTGGAGACCAGTAACAAATGAAAAAGCTTCTACCTGAGGCAGGCAATTTTGGGCAGGGAGAAGGGGGAGGTCATGGACAACCAGAGACCATCTGTGTGTCTTTGGCCTTACTGGAAGGCAGCATCCTGAAAGAGRACAGAAGCTGAGGCCCATCCTGGCTCCATCTGCTGCAGGAGGAGTCCCCCTTGGTGGGTCCCGATGTGGCCGGGAAGCGATGCTCCCACGGGAGGTCAGGGGGAACAAAATGCTGCCGTGAGTGAGGTCCCAAAGCGTCAGGCTTGGGCCCGTTTCTCCTGGCATGTTTAGATCCCCCTCAGCTACAACCCAGCTTGTTTCCTTGTATTTCACTGCCAATGGGAACCTGGGTGACTGACCACCTGCCTCTCCCAACTCACATGAAATATATATATACATATATATAAAAAAAAATATATAAACGAGCAGACACACAAAGCAGCAAAAAACACCCCCGTTAAAAACCAAAAGCACTCGTCTCCAAGCAGACAGCTGCACTTGCAAACCAAACCAAAGCGAGCGCCCGCGCGGCCATGAGAGCTTTGGATTCACCTCGGAAGAGTGATTTGGGATGGGAACACACGGGGCCGAAGCAACGTGTTCTTTCGAACACCGCTCCTCAAAAACACATCACAGCAGCCAYGAGAGACGCCCTATTTTATTTCATTTCCAAGCCCATATGAAATAGCCCAACYACAGCCCTATGATCTTTAAAACCCYTCTTAAAATRCTCSCAGAGCATCAGACGTGAGAACAAACTGGCAACTAATCTGGCGACTGCTCCTGAACAGCAAAACACGGGATCTCCTGGCAGGGCCCTGTCCTCCCAGCCTGTGAACAACAGAGGGAACTGCAGAGAACCACAGAGTGATGCACAAAAGACTAAACCACGTTGTAGGCCTCCTCAGCGCTGCCAAGCTCTGGCTTGCACAGCAATGCCACCTTTCAGCAGCAAAAGGTAACACTTCTTCTTCTATAGATTTCCCAAGTGAATCAAGCCTGGTTGGTAAAAACAGTTTTACAAGCACAAAAGCACCTGCACKAGGACATTTGCTGTTTAAAAAAGAAAAAGGAGAATTATCCTAWGTAATCTGGGCCAGCAGGGCTAAGCCAAGCAGAGCTGCGAGCACAGACTGATGTTACGAACAGAACAAGCAGAGGGTTGAGGAGGCAAATGTCAAAGCTTTCCCTCGCTCAACTTGGGGATCTTTTTGCTCTCTTCCCCCCTTTTCTCCGTGCCCCTGTGCGGTTCTCTCCAGCCCCACAAAACACCTTTGTGTGGAGGCTCAGCTCTTTCCCACAGTGCTGCATTCCCACCCTGGCTTCTCGGGGCGGGTGGAAGTTTTCCACGGTGCCTGGGATAGTGCCCATTCGCACAAAGCATAACCCAAAACCCCAGGAGAAAACCCTGGGAAACCGGTCGGGCAGCGGAGACACAGAGAGCGCTGCGGAGACCACAACGCTGCCTTCTATCCAAAGGAGAGGCGAGCGTGCCTGAAAAGGGGTGTCCAAGATTATCCCAAATCCGCAGAGGAGTCAGATCAGGAGACAGGGAAGCCCTGCCTCGCTCACGGTGAACGGCACACCAGGAATAGCTCTGCTTCACACCCCGTCCTTGCTTCCAGCTCAGAGGYGGCCAAGGCTGAAAAAGTAATAGAACAAAGACTGGAACAGGTTGAAACTCCCACCCAATGCAAATGATTGTTACTTTTCACAGATATACCCTGCACTTGTTTTTTTTTCTTTAATAAACACATTAGCAACACTTGTGTGATTTGCCAAGAATTTTTTTTTTCCTACTTTYCCTCTTGTGGAATCGTTTGCCACATGCCAGCAGAGAGCTCCCAGCACCTGGCTGGATCCTGGAAACAGCAGAAAAAGCAGCTACACAAGGATACCCACAAACCAAGGGCCRAACAGAAGGAATGCTGCTTGTCAGGACCAGCTGAAGTTTGAAGAGGGGTGGAAGATTTTATTACTTTACTGCTCAGGAGCTCGTTTTCCCACCAACAGTGCAGCTGCAGTGACCAATAGTCATTTCTGGCAGGGTACAACTCGTCTCCTGCTCCTCAGAGAGGCTGAATTCATCCATCTCCACTGACACTGGCAATCCTGCTCTGTAAATCCAGCCACGAGAGGATGGATGAATTTCATGTCTGAAGACACCCAGGGTCATGTTTCTCCTTCCTTACAACTGTTTTTAAGCATGCAGCTGTTACTGTAATAACCAAAACTCCTATCAGCAAAAGTRCTGCTGCTCTCCACCGCAGTAACACACTTAAGACAGGGCTTAATTACACACTGGAGCACAACCAAAGGCTTCTTGCTGTAGGTCCGCTGTAACTCCTGTACAGTGCATCAGGACAGTAATGATTTACAGAGGAAAGCAACAGAAAGGAGGGAAGATGATGTAAACCACAGCCCAGAGCTTTTAAAACAGCATTTACTTCGGATGACCTTGAAGATCCAA